GTGGCTCAACACGGTCGTGGCGCTGGGGATTATCCGCTCGGTCGGGACGGACGGGATTACCATTGATACCTGGCAGGTCAGTGTTACAGTCTCTCAAACAGCATCTCCTGTTGGAACTGAACTTTAACGGTATCTGATAGATGGTGGCACCGTGATGGGCCAATTCAACTTCTTTTTCTTTGTCATTCGTCTGATAAAAGCCGGCAATGCTGCCGGCTCGGGCCGAGGTCAACACATCTAGGAACCGTTCACCTGATCACAATCGGCTGCTGTCGGAATGTCTTCTTGCTTCACATTGGCTGCCAAGTCTCGATGGGACCAATTGAGGGACTCTCCGGCTTGCGCCGGTCGTGACACCAACCATGGACGCTGCTCGGCCAAGACGCGACTCCGAAGGGCCTAGAAGCCACCAGTCAGTTGGGCACGCACTCATGTCGTTTTGATGTTTTGCTCGCCGAAACTGGTCGATGGATTGTCAACGCAATTGGGGCACAACACGATGTCAAACACCTTCTCAGACAGCTCGTAAGGTCAAAACGTAATGGAGCGCTATCGCAATGAAAGTAAAACTGTCAAATCGCCAGCAGTGGAGATTGCGCTGACTGTGACGTAAATTTTCTGGATGTTTCAGCGCCCAAAGCAGGCAATCTCACCCCACTCTGTGCCCCGCGACGCCGGGAAGCAGCTTTCTGTTGAGGCCCCTCGCCTCAGCTGGCCGCGTCGAACAACCCCGCACCTTCACATCATCCCACATCCCACTTCCATCTTGAGCTGCCCCTCCACCCATAATCCCCGATCAAAGCTGCCAGTGCGTCATACAAATCCCTCATCGGCTGCGGCGGATCGTTAGTGCGAGATCTGAATCTCTGTTTTCCCTTCCTTCTTCTGACCTTGTTTGTGTGAAAGCTCTTTAGCTCTGTATTTTTCCCTAGCTCAATCGCGTCGACCTGATCCGAATTGCCCCGCCATTGCGACCTAAGAAGTAGAGCATCCTAACTTAACCATCAAACAACACCTACAACCGCCAAAATGGGTATTCTCGAGGTATGCAACAAGCAGATCTTCGGCCCGGGCCGCTTCTTTTTCCTACCCGCATTAGATGGCAGTTTTCTGACCGCGACAACCGTGCACAGGATCTCAAGCTGCCCGTCGGCGTCATCTATGGTACGAACCCCTCTCTCCGAGATCGGAGAATCTGAAATTGACCCCTGATCCGTGGAACAGGCGATGATGTCCTGAAGCTTTTCACCTACGCCCGTGAGAAGGGATTCGCCATCCCCGCCGTCAACGTCACCTCCTCCAGCACTGTCGTTGCCACTCTCGAGGCCGCTCGTGATGCCAAGGCCCCGATCATGTACGAGAAAACACCAATCCCCGGCCATCCCCGCGGCCGTGTCCGGGAGGATACGATATTGACAGCCAGTGGTTAGCCTGCAGACAAGCCAGGGCGGTGCCGCCTACTTCGCCGGCAAGGGTGTCAAGAACAGCGCCGACAAGCAGGAGGCGTCTGTCGGTGGTGCCATTGCCGCCGCCCACTACATCCGCGCCGTCGCCCCTCTCTACGGCATCCCCGTCGTCCGTAAGTGAGCCGACTGCTTCTCTCGTTTTACTGTTACTGACTTTCTGTGACCAGTCCACACCGATCACTGCGCCAAGAAGCTCCTCCCCTGGCTCGATGGCATGCTCGATGAGGATGAGAAGTTCTTCAAGCAGAACGGCGTCCCCCTCTTTTCCTCGCACATGATCGATCTGGTACGTTCTTCGCCCTACCTATCCCAGTTGTTCCATGAGCTCCGTGCTAATCAGACTCCAGTCCGGTATGTTACCCCAGAAGCTCGATTGCATCGATATGCCCACGTCGGAGGCTACCCCTGTGGCCCCCCGCACGGTCACTTGCTCGAACAACACTGACACCATGTCATAGAGGAGCCCGTCGATGAGAACATCAGCACATGCGTCTCGTACCTGAAGCGCATGGCTCCCATGAAGCAGTGGTTGGAGATGGAGATCGGTATCACCGTATGACCAGCCCAATTCCTTCGTCTTGTGTTAGTACAGTGGGCTAACAACATTACAGGGCGGCGAGGAAGATGGTGTTGACAACACCGGCGTAAGTTGACGCTAATGGGCTCTGTGATGGTCCCTGCTAACATCCCCCGTTAGGTCGACAACGCTTCTCTCTACACCCAGTGAGTGCCGGCCCCTACTCGTTCGCAAGAACGCAGGTACTAACCCGTCAATAGGCCCGAGGACATCTGGCAGATGTGTGTTCACCCCCCAACGCGATTACCCGATGTTGTACTAACCCCCCCGCAGCGAGCAAGCTTTCCGCCCGCTCTCCAAGTACTTCTCGATCGCTGCCGGCTTCGGGTAATAAATTCCGCTACCCCACTCCGAATCCCCAATTGCTAACGGTTTGATAGTAACGTCCACGGCGTCTATGCCCCTGGCAACGTCCGCCTGCACCCCGAGCTGCTCGGCAAGCACCAGGCCTACGTCTCCGAGAAGCTCGGTGGCAGCGACAAGAAGCCTGGTTAGGCTATGCTTACCCGCATGACACCAAGGGCATCTCGCTAACTAGTCTAGTCTTCTTCGTGTTCCACGGCGGCTCTGGCTCGAGCAAGCAGGAGTACCTCGATGCCATTGGCGTAAGCGAGAAGCACCCCGCACTGCGATGCAAATAGCTAACAATTCAAAGCACGGCGTCATCAAGGTCAACGTCGACACTGACTTGCAGTGGGCGTACCTGACCGGTATCCGGTGAGTGTTTCCAAGCTCCATATCTGATGTCAACATGCTAATATGACCCCAGTGACTACGTCACCAAGAACATCGACTACCTCAAGACCCAGGTCGGCAACCCCGAGGGCCCCAACAAGCCCAACAAAAAGAAGTACGACCCGAGAGTATGTGCCCCCGTATCAGCTCCTCTTAGCCATGTAGATTCTAATTTCTACAGGTCTGGGTACGTGAGGGTGAGAAGACCATGTCTACGCGTGTGACGGAGGCCCTCAACGACTTCAACGCCTCTGGCTCCTTGTAAAATGGGAACCGGATGTTGGGATATGGCCACTCACAATGCCGATAATATTGGGCTTTACTGGAACCCCCAGGCCCAGGATAGCAGCATGGAGCTCCCGAAATCGATGTCAGGGGTAGGAAACTGATAATGGAGGGGCGTTTAAGTTTGGGGTCCAAATAGTTTGAGGCGAGCAAAATTGCAAAATTCCCTCTCAGCCATTCACCTGTTTTCGGTCTTGCAAAGTGGAATCACTGAAACGATAGGAGTACTCACAATTCTCGGGAGACATTGCTCTCTCCCGGCTCTCTAACCAAAAAGCATGGCGGCCTGCCACTCAATTTGTACGCACTCGAAGATCAGCCGACTGATACCCAAGGCCCATGTCTAGAACAAGGTATGAGGAATCTATATTTTAGTCGCTAAATCGATACTTCCAGAACAGATCCCTCCTTTCCCCCCGTCGACAGTTCACCGTTTTGTCTCATCCCCCGCCACCGCCTCCTTCCACGCAGCCGCAATCGCCGCCCAGTACTGCTCAGGATGCGCACGCATATGGCCCACATGAGGCGTGCCCTCAAACAGCTCCGCCGTCACGCTGCGCCCCTTTTCGCGCGCATCCGCCGCGTGCACCTCAATATCATCCCACCGAATGATCTCGTCCTCCTTGGAATACAGATACAGCCGCTTCGCACGCACATCCGACAGCCGCGCATCATTCACCGCCCGCGTGCTGTACTCCCCCGCGCTCGTCGCCCCAATCGCCCACCCGGCCCCGTACAGGAAGGCCAGGAACACCGCTGCCAGCGCCTGCGTCACACCGGCCGGCCAGGGGAACCACCCCGCCGCGCCGACCGTCATCGCTTTGGACCACGCGCCCACGTTGCGCAGGAAATCGGTGCTGCCGGGGGTCGAGTCGCAGACCATGAGCCGGTGGGGCATCACGCCGCCGCGCGTGTGGTGCGTGTAGGCGTTCATGGTGGCCGCGCAGTTGATCCCGCCCGTGTTGGACATGACGTGCAGGAGGACGCGGGGGTCTTCGGCGGGGGGGTTGGTGGTGGTCGGGGGGTTGCCGCTGGTGAGCGCTGAGGGGTAGACGGCCTCGAGCACGGGGATCATGTTCTGGGTGCGCGCGTCGAGGTTTTGGTACAGCGCTTTGAGGATGGGCGAGAAGATGAGCGCGATCTGGGCGTGTGGGAACAGCTGCCGGTAGCCGGCCACGTACTTGGATACGTGCCGTGGCCGGGCGTCGCCCCAGCCGTAGATTATTACCGTGCGGGGGTGCGCTGGGTTGGGGGGGTTGGGGGAGGTGGTGCTGCTGCTGCCTTCTTGGACGTAGACTTGGTCGCTGAGCTTCTTGAAGCCGAGCATCACCGATGACTCGGTTTCTGTTACGGTTTTGGACATTGTGGGTGAGCGGGCTGGTTGGCTGCTGCTGCTGGTGAAGGGGAGGGCGTTGGATATGCTGCTAGTAGTCTAGGAAACGGACGGTGGAGGGCAGTGTGTCCTGCTATATCCTTCTGTTTTCGAGGTCCAGCGTCGAGATATACCAGCTACCGTGGGGGTCGTCTTGGTTGACGGCCAAATATTAAGTATTAAGAGGGTTACATGCAGAATTTTGTTGAATAAGCTCAGCCCTGGACCCCTGGCTTCCCGTCGTCCTGGGCGGGTATGAATCCACACCACCAGCCCTGTGGCCAAGGCATTGTGACAATTTCTAGCATGTGCTTGCCGAGACCGAGACTTCGGTGACGGTCCAGCCCGCCCTTCAACGGTCACCATTACCCCTGGATCCTCCTGAGTTCCCAACCAAACTCTAAACGTCGCTAGCCAGTCAGTCACGTAGTAGGGCCGCATCTTCGACAACAACCAATAGTACGAAGATTTCGTTTTCTGACCCACAGACTAGGCCCGAGACTTCCGGGGGGAGAAGCCTCCACCGTCTCACGAAGGCCCCTATCGAAGCCCTCACCATGTCATCGGGCAATTGGTCTAGGGGTATGATTTTCGCTTCGCACCATGTGCTCTCTGTGAAAGGTCACCGGTTCAAATCCGGTATTGTCCATTTCTTTTGACATGTTTTTTGACATTTTTGGCGGGTCATGTTTTCCAGGCGTTTGTTGGGGGAGAGACAACGGATGCCCATCCCTGTCTTTTTGACTTTCAAACAGCCGAGGTCCAATGCTTAGCTCCGACGGGGAGGCCGAGTTCATTGGGTCTTGTCTTGGGGTTGTACAAGCACTCCATTAGCCAACCCGGAACCGATAACTGAGGACGAGATCTCGACGGTAGTATAACCAGTTTCAAGAGGACCTACACTGAAATCACCTTCGTCATGGACAAAGCTATTACAGACGGCCTCATCCCCTTCGCAAAGGCAACGCAAGTTGAGCGGGTCGCTTCGCACACATACAAGGCTAATCTCAGCGACACCTTCTGCATAGGAACTGGTAAGCTTCAATTACTCGCTTCGCTGTCCTTCACTGCATGGCCCGAGTAAGAGACCTGACAAGAACATCAGTACCTAACGGGGGGTATGTGGCATCGTGCATTCTCGAGGCGGCAGGTCTCCATCTCGCCGAAAGGGGACAAAGGGATGTTTTGAACGCCCACTTTCAGTTCTTGAATCGCACCGAAATAGGGCCAGCGATAGTCATCATCGAGGACGTCAAACTAGGCCGTCAGCTCTCAACACTCCATGTTACCCTTTACCAACATGCCCTCTTGCCCACGGCGCCATGGATTACGCAGGGGTCAACACGCAAGGAGATTGCCGGATACTTGACCATGACGAACCTAAAGAAGGAGAGTGGCATCTCGCTGCCCACGGGATTCACTCTGCAGCACTCCGCTCCGGCGCTCCCGCGGCCGGACTTTGCCGCTCTCAAGGAAAACCGTGATGCAAATTGGATCCGGTACGAGTTCCCCGGCGGCAGCCCGCTGAGCTACGCGAGGTGCCTGCGGAATTGCATCTACTACGACCCCCGGGGCGGGCGGACGACGAAATCCGTCCTCGACAAGTGGGTGCGGCTTGCTTCCGGCGAAAACTTCACGGCTGCTTCATTGGGGTATGTCGCTGACTGCTGGCCGTACGTGGTCGAGGCCCAGCGGCCGACCAAGAAGGAGGCCGCCGAGCTGCAAAGTCGAGGCGAGATCCTCCCTTTTGCCCCCGGCGCTACCTTTTGGTATCCAACCGTGGTGCTCAACCTCGAAATCAAAAAGGCGCTACCCGAGGAGGGGCTGGAGTGGTTGCAGATGCGGGTTCAATCAAAGCAAATCAAAGACGGCCGCTTCGACCTTGAGGTGCTGCTACTCGACGAGAATGGAGATTTAGTTGCGCTTAGCAACCACGTCAATTTGATCCTCGGAAGCGAGAGAAACACAGCCGATAGGACCAGAAGTGGCGATGCTGCAAAGAAGTCGTTAAGTCGCATCTAAGCTGCAAGTCTATCTAACTCGGGCTTCGGGTCTTCCTTGACTCGCTGAGTGTCCGTCAGCACGGCACAGGAGGTACGGCAAAGTCTCACTCAGGCTTGAATCCATTGGGGAACTCTTCCTAACGAGTTGAGTAGCTGGCTGGTACCAACGGGCATAGCTGGTCCTATCTCCAAATCATCTTAGTGGTGCGCGCTTCCAGCGCTCTCTCAAGAAAGAAGAGAGCAATTCCATCACATCCACTTCGCATGCAGTTCATTTCCCGCCACCCTTCGTGTTGGTTCTAGATTATCCATCTGAGGCGACCCAAGTGAGCCCAAAATGGGCCCGAGGATTGGGCCAAAGTGATGTGTCTGTCAACCCTCGTCATCCCCAGACTCGAGGAGTCCAATGTCTCGATCGATCGTGTCTCTGGCGCACGCACACGCGCACGCACACGCGCGCGCACAGACGAGTTACAGCAGCGAGTACCTGAGTCGTCCCTTGCCCCGGATTTGCCGGCCCTCACAGCTGACCGCCACGATGCCCCGAGATCACGGCTGAACTGAAGCGCCCAATGGGATGTCGCCGCGATTTCCGCCCTGTTGCAAAGGTGACTCGACCGTTGTCCGGCTCCACCGAAATGGTGAGGCTCCAGTAGAATTGTCGGTGAGGCCTCAGGGGCCGCCACGTCACGCCCAGAAGACAACTACCCCCTGCCAAGTGGCCATGGGTCTGGAGGGGCAAATGGACCCGCCTCGGGCATTGTTGTTAGGCTCCAAACTAATCCCTCGGACGTGGCCATGGTTTGATTGGATTTGACGCATATTCTGTAGCGCTTGGTTGGGTCTCGTCACCCCGCGCCGCAACCCCTGACTCCTGAGCATCCCAGACAATGCGTTGTAACGCGATCTTGCGCATCGTGCCATCGACTTGGGCACGAACAACTCGCGTTGGCCCCTCCAGCCGACCCCTCCAGTCAACCCCTCCAAAGGAAGACCCCTCACATGGTGGACTCCCAGCAGACAGATAGAACAGACAAACTTAAATAGAAGACATTTCTCCCAAGATGATGCCGTCACTTCCATTCCTCATCGCATCAAAGCAACAGCAGCCAACAGCAGCATCACCACTACCACTACCACCACTCAAACACCCAACAGACTTCGAGTTCTACCAAGACTCACCCCACCACCGCCAATATGTCTCTGTCCATGCCTATCGACGCCGCTGAGCTTGTAAGTAAGACTCCTCCCACCCCCCGCAGATCAACTACTCACACATGGCCATCAGAGAAGACGCTGGTCGGACAAGACCACTGCCGTCTTCAGCAACAGCGACCGCTACGACTCCCGCACCTTTCCGGCCGAGACCTTCGAGCGCGAGTTCGACTTCAAGAGCTGCGACAACATCGTCTTCATGAACGGTGTGCGGACCGGCCGCCCGGAGGACGTGATCCTGCTCACCAAGGGCTCCGGCCACATGTCTCTGCCCGCCAACGTTCAGGTGATCGTGTCCGGCGGCTTCGCCAAGTGCAACTCCGAGCGCTCCGTCACCGACGGCTCGACCGTCATCGGCGCTGGCGCCCGCGCCCCGCCCCCGAGCCGCGTGGAGGGAGCCTATGCCCACTCTTCGGCCGACTCGGGCTATAGCGGCTCCGTCCGCGGCAACACCGTCGACAGCTACCGCATGAGCCCGCCCCGCGACGCCGCCGCCTTCATGCGCGGTGGCCCCGTCGCCAGCTCCTACATGTCCGCTGCCGACATTCCCCTGCCCCGCAGCACCGCCGGCGCCGGCGCCGGCTCCAGCGAGTGGGAGGTTGTTGGCGAGCTGGAAGGCTTCCAGGACCGCACCCGCGACGATTGCAGCATCGCCCCGAGCGAGAGCATCAGCTCCGTCGGCAGCCGCGGCAACGGTGGCTTCACCCGCCGCGCCACCCACAACTTCTGATTGCGCCGTTCCGTTCCGTGGAGAGAGTGTTTGGCGGGGGAGAGTGACGGACTGCCCTGAGGACGAAGCGAGGTCCCTGAGAAAGGGGCACATTCTGGCGCGCTCTTTCACATCATCTTGAGATCCGGGGTCCAACAAGGACTGAGCCGAAAGATATCAAGCATGGTGTGGAACCAAGCCGGCGCTCGCTACTCCTCCCTCCCCTGTCCCTCCAGTCTCTTTCGGCAACAACATCGCATCATGAGGTCAGCATTTAGAGGGTCGGAGTTAATGTTTTGGGTTTTCTTTGGGAATAGCATTTGGGAACTGGTTTGGTTTACGCATGGGCATGGGTCACGTTTTCATAAGGGACTCTTGGGGTTTTGGGCATCATATTTCAAACCACAGATTGTGGAACAAACAAATTGGCTGCATAGTTATTCGGCTCAAATACAGTGTGTTTACTTGCATTCTTGGTTCCATTTCTTATCAGAATCCATTTCTTGTGACATTTCTCCTCCCATATCTGCCGCTCACTCTTAGGTCTTCCCCTGAGCCTCGGGAGCAGGGGTTTTTCAAATCCGATGCTAAGCCGCTGCCAGAACACTTATTCTCCAGCCTAGCTCAAGCCTTCCGAACACACACATTGTGTGACCCCCTATCATCGGCAACGGCCCTGGTTCGCGATTCTTCTGATTTTATGCGACATTTCACATCTGTGAAACGCAACACACCCCGAAAAACTGAATCCAATATCCGCCAAAGGACCGACTGTCGAACAGGTATGAGTCTCAATCAGTCATCAAAAGCCGAAGTCAGGCCAGTGAATTTGCCAACCCTACCTCCAACACGACGAACACAAACACAATCAATATCAATGGTGTTTGCTCCGAGTCCTCCGGGATCCCACCTCAGCATCCCACCACGGTGGAGTAGGGTGTGAATAACCGGGACGACAGCGCCTAGATTCACCCCTAAAATGTAACCTTGGACCGGGAGGGCTACAAAAATGAACCAGGAGCACAGCGAATACTTTCTGCGTCTGCGAACTACAGATCGACTACTTGCTTCGTACCGAAAAGGGAAAACGACTTGCTATAAGCCAACACTAATCGCCTTCCGCACGCATAATGATTAACTAATTCTTTGGTCTCGATAATCAAGTCAATCATGAGCGACTTATTTGGCAATATTTCCGATAACGGCACGCTAAATTGGCTGATGTGAGCCGCCGAGCCTTCTCTTTTCTGTAACACGGGGCTCGTCATGGAATTCACCCCGGGGGTTGACGGCCCACACTCCACTTTGGTCCTGACATTGCCCCCCTTGACCAAGAAATAGTTCCGTACCATGTAGGATTTCAAAGTTCCTTCCATCTCGATTAAGATGCGGCTTGCTGGTGGCTGTGTTCTTGTCGTTAAAGCGACCCGTGAGAGCAGTTATCTCACACCTCACCTGATGATCTGACTTCCAACTTCTTTCCATTCACTCTCTCGAGATCAAGGGGCTAGTAATCAATCATCATGATTACGAATATCTTACTTCTAGCCCTCCCGCTAGTGGTCGCTTACCTGGCCGCGACGGTATGGCACCGCCGATTCAAACAATTTGCCAACTTCCCCCAGCTCAAGCCGTCCCTCCTCTGGGGCCACTTGAAACTCATCCACGAATACACCCTGAAGGGACCTCCGGATGTTCACTATGGTATGTACTCCTAAGACA